TGAGCTCGCTCGGCTGGCTCGGCTCGTCCAATAAGATTTGTTTTAATATTATTTAAATAAAAAATATATATTTAATATATAATCATATATTTATTTGTATAATTCTCACAATAAAGAATAAATGAACTGAGATTTCATTCGAGCTGGAGCCTGAGCTCGAAGGCTCCGTTTACTAACGAGCCGAAAAACAAGCTATGGCGAACAGCTCAGTTTCATTGCAGCCCCACTTTTGCGCCTTGTACTTTTGATCTTTTAGTTTATTATGAATAAAGAACAGTCAATAAATTAAGTTATTATAAATCAAATTAAAAAAGTTTTGTAACACAGTACGTAATGACAAGTTTAGTTTAGAAATTGAAATGTAGTGTATTCAACTTTCTATTTTCATTTCTTTACTATAAAAATAGAAAGATAAAAATAAAATAAAAAACCTTGCAAGAATTCCCAATTCCATGTTCTTTTGGCCTTTTTTTTTTTTTTCTTTTTTTTGGGGGGGGGGGGTTAAGGAATGGGGTATTTGGAAAAGGGGTTTGTGGAAGTAGATTTAGCACTTCTTACTAACTTCAATTATCACTAAAGGTTTTGAACAAGTCCGAATTGTGAGCCTAATAACAAGGGCGGTAGTTGTTAAGATATTTCAATTCACTTCATTTCATATTACACTGTCGGTAGAGAGATGTGAGATTTACCTCCACTTTCAGACGCTTCTGTGAGTCATTTTTCAAAGTATTTCTCAAATTCTCATTGCACTTGAAAGGATGAGTAAGGAAGCTAATGTATGAAAAGACTAGGCCGCTGCTCTTACATAACCTAAAGAAAATTCTGGTAAATTATTCCAAAACATTGTTAGCATTTTTCTGCCCACACTCATAGTTTTCTTCCTTCAAGTTTGTGATATCCAAGGGAACTCAAACCCCTATCTTCTTCTAATTAGTCTCGTAGCATCATGACTAACTCCAAACCCTCATCATTCATTAACGTTGATTATGATGACTACTCTACACAAGTTTATGAAAAAGGATAGGACATTGCCATGCCTACGCTATTTGCGGATTCAAGTGTAAAAAAGAAAAACAGTGTTCAGCGATTACCTCTGCTTTAGGCATTCTCCCCAATGCCAAAAAAGTAGTAGAGAGATAACATCTATTTGCTCGAGAGGGATAGATTTAAAGCCGCTGGAACATCAAGTGTCTTCAATTTGCGATCAGGTAACGAGCGAATCTCTCGCAGAAAGGTAAGTAAGATCGAAGACACAGCTAGCGAAGAACAAGATAAAGCTTTAATAGTAACATAAACCATCGATTAGAGTAAGATAATTAAGTAATATGATACCCAATGCTAATTTCTAGTTCGAGTTATTACTCACGCCTACAAAATCCTTATACATGGTTTAACTATTGAAAGTATCAGCACATCCTGGAAAGTACTCAATCTAGTTTCGTAGAGACCGAATAGTACCAGGTCGGACACCCACCCCGAATGCCAACGAGTCACAAGGGACAAAGTGTCACTATTGAGTATCAGTCGCAGCCTAGCATCCATGCATCACAAGACAACTGGTTCATATCTGATTTCCTCCAATACTTTTTCAGAGATATAACTAGTTTCATTATATATCATTAACAAAGACATTTATCCCAGGAATTCATAATACACAGAAAAAAACATCAAACATTGTAATAAAGCTTTTAAGTGGGGAATACTAAGTTGCACCGTGAGCAATAGTATTCATACTCTTTGTGGCTAGCTAGATCCAAACCAAAGACATGCACGATGTGCACTGAACAATAGAATTACCATCTACTTAAATCATGCACCACAAGTTATTGTGCAGTAGTCCGACAACAACATACACCATCACAACACAACAGAGGTCAAACAAACAAACACACACGACCACACAGAAATAAACCTTGAGATAAAGAGTCTTTATGTGAGGCCAACAATTCAATACCCCGCTCCATAGGGCATGTGCGGCTTTCCCACTTCCCTTTGCTCGTAGCACATCATTCACTGACCATCACACTCTGTTAAAACGTAACCTTAATAGCAAATCTATCTGGAATCTGAAATGAAATAATAACAGAATATGCAGTGAATTTGACTGGCAATAACAAAATTGAATTCAGTTTGGAAACATAAATATAAAAAATAAAAGTTTTAAATGTGGCATGTAAGCTCCCTTCAGCACAAAACTATTTAAAATAAATTCTAGAAGGCCGAAATAGCTAGATTTGAAATGATCATGAAACCAAAAAAATCTATATGTAAATTAATCAGTTTACTCTTTAATCATTTTTTCAATTTGTAAACTAAAGTAAGAAAGGACATGGATTTTGAAGATCATTCATATAAATGTGCTACATGATGTTGGACTGTAGACTCCTTTCCATTAGGTCAATGCTCAGTCATGTATGAATGTATTTTGTTATTGCAGGTATGAACGTTTTGTTGCTGCAGTTGAGGAAGCATCAAGAGATATGTTACCTATACTAAAAGACAAAGCATTGAAGGTTGCTGGTCTATTTATGTTTGTTCGATGCGGTGTCTACCTTATACAAATATAAGCACCCGCTTTTTTTTATTTATTTTATTTTTCAGGCCATATTATTATTAGTATTGATTAATTTTTTTCTTTTTTCTTTTTGTTATTTAACAGGAATTCAAGTTAAAAGAGACAATGAAAGTTGTGATTATATCAGATCTTTGGAAAAACAATGTTATTTTATTGTTGTAATATTGATGTTATATATTTTATTTGAACAACTATTGTTCCATGTTGTAATAAACTAATGGCACTATTTGTTTTTTTTTCTTTTTTAATTTTTTTTTTCTTTTTTGGTTGAACATTTGAGATATTATGTCGTATGAATTATTTTGAGAGGATGGACCCATGAAATATCTTTGAGAGATGCCTACTGATTTGAAGTGAAGTTAGCTAATAGTATGTTTGGACATTGCTGGTTTATACTTTTATATATATTATTTTTATTTACCTCAAAAAAAAAATGGTAAATGCAAAATTTTAAAAAAAAAAAAAAAAGGTCAAGAATTTTTCAAGGTCGGGGAAACCCGATCCCTATTAGGGGGCGGGGGCGGAGGGGTGATGGGTCCCCACCGGAGAACGAGAGTGAGGACTATAAATTTTATACTTTTAGGGATCAGGGACAATGAGTGTAATCCCCGGTCCTGCCCGTTGCCATCCCTCATTCTGCATATTCATGCTAGTATTAGATCAATTTAGCAACAAGCTTGATTCATAAATAAGATTGTTAAATATTAAAAAACAAAAATACGGGCATTGACAAAAAATAATCAATCAAATAATAGAATGTAGTGCAAAAAGATAACAACCTAACCTCAAATATCAATGAATCAAAATATGCAAATCTTGAAGATAATTTCATCAATATAGTTATGTCACGCCCAAAAAAGATCCGTTTCTTCCCCTTGTTTCCAATTAGATTAATAAATATTTATGACCATCCAAAAAACTTCTTTGATGTTAATAGCAATCTCCTTTTTCCATGAATTCACAACCAACTGCTAAAAAGGTTTACTTTTGCCATAAGAATGAGAGCTGATAAAAGCATTGCCATGGCATTATTACAGGTGGCTTAAAAATAAAGCGAAAACAAAGAAACAGCTTGATTTTATCCTTATTAACCAAAAATAAAAAGGCCAATTAGTTTACAGAAAATCATTACAAGCCAACAACCTCATTCATATTGGATGCTCAAGAGGGGTGAAAAGGGAGGTAGAGAGATATTGCACAAAAAATCACATACAACATCAGATTATTGGGTAGTGTCCTCCATAGCAGATGTGCACTTCATTCGACGATTTATGGAGATGAAGTACAATCAATAACCCTACAGTAACTATGCATACCTTATATTGGCTGAAACAAACACCAACTCCCCAAGTTTAAGACATTATAATATCTCCATTCTCATTCATCCTGGCACTCACACCGATATCACCATCGTCGCCACCCACATTGATCCCTCCTTCCACTGGCCAGCTCGACACGGTCTCCAAATAAATCGTCTAATCAAACAAGATTTTGAAATTTGTCTCTCTTAAAACCGTGCCAAAACCATTCTCCCACAAACTCTGAAGATAATGCAGACAGCATGTGTTGGCTTTTTGGCTTTTCGAAGGGTATTTTTGTGAATGTGAGCGTGCCAGCAAGGATCAATCAGTCCTTACAGAAACTGTGATTGCCAACCAATTATCAGACGATTGTGTTTTAGTTCTTTTCAGCCTCAATGAAGAGGACTTTTACTGGTGGCTTGATTTAGGAGAAGTTAATAGAAAATAACAGTAATATGAAGAACAATTGAAGTATTTCATAAAAATGAACACTTACAATGGTCCGAACTCAGCCTCAGAGAGGTTTACAACAGCAATCTACTTGAATCTACTTGAAGCTACTCCTATGAATCGAAGTGCAGTACTGGTATTTAAAGTGCAGGTATTTAAAGAACAGGTATTTAAAGACTGGAAATGTAAATGACTGGAAAAGAAAATATATGAAGTAAATGACTGGTTTGTATGATCTGAGTCCGTCCTTTTTCCTGGGGGCTGCTCTGTTATTTATACTCGTCAGTGATGACCTTCGAACTGCACTTCGATCCGTCGAACTGCTCCTCCATGATCGCTGATCATGCTTCCTTAAAAGTAGCTCCATTACGCCATTACTGGCAGTTGAGCTTCCCTCTTGTACTGGATTTGAATATGAGTAACCGTTGAAGACACGTCATCTTGCATCCCGTTATTTGATCTAGTGTTACTCAGATCATGTGAGGACCAATATTTATTGCCACGTGTACGATCAGGATTAAAGGCTTGAATAACCTTCCTTTATTACCCTTACTATGCCACGTGTCGAACTGTAACTGGCTTTTACAAAATATGTAGCCAACAGCATGCACTCAGATTTTTTCTTTTTCTTTTTTTAAAACAACACGGATCAAATTGATATTCATATTTCATACCTCTGGATTCATAGAATTTTGAATCTCAGTGGTCAGAGACTGTCTCGCCTTTGCTTTAACACAACTCTTCAGTTCTCCCATATTCTGTTACGCAACAAGACTAAAAGATCAAGTTCTTGGAAAATGCTTGTAAATTAGTAGAAATTTTACAAAGTAAAGAGTCAAAAAAAATAAATAAATAACTATTACCAACTTAGGACGATGAGACGCTTCTAGAATGTTACTCAATCTATCTTCCCAAGTTTTCTTCATGGCAGAATCGCTTCAACATCGCAAAAACAAAATTGGTTTAAGTATAATATGGCACAAGAGAAAATGGAAGTTAAATCCACTCTACTTAGGTTCTAAGGAGAACTTTTTATCTTTAAATTGGATATTTTTCTTCTTTATTCAAAAAGAAGTAAAATTAAGCTTATTCTAGTACATTGACAACCATCATGACCTGTTACATCACAATCAAAAAAGGGAAAGAAAGGAGAGTATATATGCCCCCAAAAGCCACCAATTCTAGTCAATTAAACCGATTCAAATAATATTTCCTGCCTTTTTAGCTAACAAGTAATGTGCTTTCCCCAACTCAATACACATAGGAGAAAGAACATAAAAACAGTCCTCCATTTTTCACATCCATACATACACAAGCAATTGAAGTATGTTTTCCTTCCTACTGTGGAAATGAAATAGAAGAGAGAGAATAAACAAATTGAAAAGAACGAGTCTAAGAACGCAAAAAACCGTTCACAGAACCGGACACAAGATACTTTTAGAAGTGCATCCTACTAACAAATTTTAAAAAATCCTGTTCATTCATGTTCCATTTTGTGTTTGGTTTTTGTGTGCATACTAAAACCGAACCTAAAGAGAGAGAGAGAGAGAGAGAATTTCACCTCTTAGAGTGCTTGTGACCTTTTGTTGCAGCTTCCATGAAGTTCAATAGCTGCAAAGATGATGAAACCATGCATGTTCTTCTATTTACCCATATGCACATGAACACTAACAAGTGGGTTCAGACCCCACTTCCAAAGAATATCCAGAGACAGCATTAAATAGAGCAAGTTTTTATCTACCTGAAATTGGTAAGTACCCACAAAGGAACAGTATCAGAATTCAATAAAGATACAAGAAACATTGTATGGCTGTAGATACAAACTCACTCAGACCCATAAACAAACAGAGAACATACACTGAGAGAGAGAGAGAGAGAGAGACTACTCACCTGGTATTTGGAATGCTGGACCAAAATGCACTCACACATTCAATGACCAAACCAAAATGGATTTCTCAGATATTCCTAAACACAAATCTAGAAAGTCCAACTGTACTGATATGTACATACATATATATGTGGAGGGGCATAAGGGGGTGGGAATTTATTTGGTTAGTCACTTGTCTTAAGAAAGCAATAGCATAACAACTTTTTTTGGGTTTTGAAATGGTGAGCTTTTTGGTGCATTAAAAGAAGGAACAGGATGGGGAGTGGTTGGCTTTTTTATTGAAGAAAGTCATTTTGGTGAACTTGAGCATCATCAATGCTTCAAACTACAGTATTTTTTCATTCTCTTGGCCAATCACCAAGGAACTGAAGGACAAGAAACAAAGGGGTGAGTCTAATCTAGTACATATATAGGAGTTCCTAGGACCCTGGCTTGGTTTCTCTAAAATTGAGAACATCAACTCACTCTCTTTTCTTTTTCTTTGTTTCTTTTTTTTTTTTTGTTTTTTTTGGTTGTGGGAAAAAGTAATAGTAAAAAAGATTTCAAATCCAATTTTTATAGGATACTAAAAGAATTGACAGTTTTATACAAACCCTATTACCAGGATAGATTAATTTCACTATTAAAATTTTAAAATTTTTGCCTGGCAGATTAATATGGTTATGATGGAACAGAAATTCAGAAATAATAACAGAACAACCACACAAGAATAACAGGAGAATTTCACTATTAATGGAGAGAATACAATGAGCCAGCTTTTTCATCACTACCACTGTTTGCAGCAGCTCTTCTCATGGCCATTAAAACCGTATAACCCAAAATAACTCAATAATACCAAACTAGGTCCAAACCTAACAAACCAATACCAGGTCAAATCAAATCGATTAACTCTCTTATCAGAATTTACTATTCGTGATTCAATTCACGATTCGTAATTTTTGTACAAATCTTTGAGTGAATTTATTTTTAAAGTGAATTTCTAGTGAATCGCACGATTCACAATCAATTCACGATTCGATTCAATTTTTATAATTCATGCAATTTTTAAAATTATTGTGCCTAATATATTTTTGACTCTTTTTTTATTCTATTTTTTTTAGTGAAAATGATATAATACAACTTCTGATAACGTTCAATACCAAAATAACCAATATATATGCATGATTGGTTGTTATTTTAGTGATCATGGGGTTTTTAATAGAATCCAATCAATACCCAACATATTTTTAACCTTTCTTCTCATTTTTTTTCCTTTAAAAAAATCATAATATATCTTCTAAAGATGTTTAAGATTAAAATTAGACTATTATCTATTACTATTTTGTTAAATTGAATATTACATATGTAAAGTTAGTTATACCTTTTAAAATATTTTAGGCTTTAATATAAAATATTCGAAATAATTCTTTCTTATTATTGCTTAAAAAAGTATATATGCTTATTGTTCAAATATCAATATAGTTGTTAATTATTATTACTTTAGATGAATAATTTGTTTATTTGGTTATTATTTTTATTAAGAATGATTAATAAAAAATATCTATAAAAAGAATAAGATAAGATGGTGATTTTATATAGGAACCTTTGTTAACTTCTTATCTATTAAACTATGTGATAATCATTCAAAATAATATTTTCATTGATTTAAGTCTAAACATTTCATATTCATAAGATATATTTAACATCTAAATGTGTAAATATATATTTTTAAGTAATTTAAAAAAAGTGACTAAATCTTTACGATTCACAATTTACGATTCAATTCGCGATTCAATACGATCTATTTCAATTCACGATACAAATTTCGATTCAACAACTACGCCAATTAATCAAGTTGTGCACATCGCCAACTATTCATAGGCACAATCAAAGTTATTTTCGAAGCAAACTCACAAGTAGTATTGTTACTTTCGTTACTTAACAAACATTTAAAATTCATTGATTCCCTTCTCCTTTCCAACCAGAAGTCTACGGAAATATAAAAAATCACATAAAATAATTATGGTCATGCATATCAAATGAAGAGACCCATCATAAAAAATATACAGTCGTGATAGAGGCCTCGAATTCGAGGCCTCGAATTTGGCTCGAATCCCAGCAGCCCCCAAAACGACGTCGTTTTGGGGTTTTTTTGGTGTTTTTGGTTTTTTTTTTCTTTTCTTCTTCCTCGTTCGAACAGAACCAGAGGGGAGGGGAAGAAGAGAGAGAGAGGGGGAGGGGAGGGGAAGAAGAGAAAGGAAGGAAGAAGAAGAGGGAGCCACCGGTGGGCCGGATTGGAGGGGACCATAATCACCGGGGGAGGAGGAGGAGGAGGAGGCGGAGGCGGAGGCGACGGCGGTGCAGCTGCTGCGACGAGCTGGATCGGGCGACGATCGGACAGCTGGCAAGCTCGACGAGCTGCGACGGTGAGTCTTCGGCGAATCCGGACCCCCTCCCCTCCCCTTCCTCTCTCTCTTCTTCCCCTCGCCTCCCCTCTGATTCTGTGAAGAAGAAAAAAAAAATATATGATTTCAAGGCAAATTTGAGCCTCAAATTCGAGGCTTGAATCATTAATCAAAAATATAGGACAAATTACAAACATCTCCCTCGAAGTTTGGTGAAAATATAGATTTTCTTCTGAGGTTTGAAAAATTACATCCCACCCCCTGAGATTTATATTTCCATAACAAATTGCTCCCTGAGGTTTTTATTTTCATACAGATTCTCCCCTAATTTGTTATGCAAATTTGATTTTTAAGAGGCAATTTGTAATTTCTCAAATCTCAGAGAAGAATCTGTATTTTCACCAAATCTCGAGAGGGCGTTTGTAATTTGACCAAAAATATAATTCATTTAGATTATTCCATATATGTTTTATGTAGTTGATTATGTGATAGATTTTGTACACTTTAGTGTTCTTTGCCCTAGGCTTTGTTCCTTAAATCACAGCAAGGGTACGAGCAAAATTTTTAGGGGGTGTTTGGCAAGTAGCTTTTTTGATTTTTTTGGTTAAAATAATATTAAAAGACAAAATAGGCTAAAATAGTTAATAAGATAAGATGTCACATCTGTCACGACCCGCTCCCTGTACCCAAGGGTTAAGTATCGTGATGGTCAGTAACTGAGATTACCTCTAGCCAATTCTTAAACAAATTAATAAACGCAAGCGGAAGTAATATTTAAGTGAGGGTACCAAAATAATCATTGAAACTTCTATTTAATTAACTTGTCAGAGCTGAACTATCTCTACAAAGTGTTTCGTGCCTACCCCACGCACTGACCCTGACATATCACCTGAAAGTGATAAACAACTATAAGCACCTAGCAGAGTGAGACATATTATACTAAGAGTATAAGGGCATAAAATTCACCATGGATAATTATTGGCTAAACAGAGCTTGATATTAAAATACAGAATATATAATACAGAGATCAAATACGGAAATCATATACATAATCATAACCACGGTACAGAACTGTTGGCTACATATTTTGTAAAAGCCAGTTACAGTTCGACACGTGGCAGAGTAAGGGTAATAAAGGAAGGTTATTCAAACCTTTAATCCTGATCGTACACGTGGCAATAAATATTGGTCCTCACATGATCTGAGTAACACTAGATCAATAACGGGATACAAGATGACATATCTTCAACGGTTACTCATATTCAAATTCAAGTACAAGAGGGAAACTCAACTGCCAGTAATGGCGTAATGGAGCTACTTGTAAGGAAGCATGATCAGCGATCATGGAGGAGCAGTTCGACGGTTCGAAGTGCAGTTCGAAGGTCATCACTGACGAGTATAAATAGCAGGGCAGCCCCCAGAAAGAAAAGGGAGTACTCAGATCATACAAATCAGTCATTTACTTCATATATTTTCTTTTCCAGTCTTTTACATTCCCAGTCTTTAAATACCTGTTCTTTAAATACCTGCACTTTAAATACCCGCACTGCACTTCGATTCATAGGAGTAGCTTCAAGTAGATTCAAGTAGATTGCTGTTGTAAACCTCTCCGAGGCTGAGTTCGGACCATTGTAAGTGTTCATTTTTATGAAATACTTCAATTGAGGCTTTTTGGCTATTTTAATAGGCTATTTTAGTTTGTGTTTGGGAAGATGGGATGGATTTTTATTTGAGTTGGTGTATTGAAAAATGTGTTGAAATGATGTTTGAAGTTAAAATGACATCACATTTTTCAAAATTAATTTAGAGGGGTAAAATTGTAATTAACCAACCTGTCACAGTGACAGTCTTACACTGTCACTGTGACAGCCCACAGCCGGGCTATTTTTTTTTTTTTCTTAAATCAATGGCCTAAAGGGGCTAAAAGGCTTTTTTTATTGTTGAGGCTAAAATAGCCTCTACCTAGGCTTCCCAAACACCGCCAAAATCAATTCATCGAAAAAATTCAAAAAACAGTTAACCTAAAAAGTTCTCACTTCCAAAACTTTTCATTGTGGCTTAGGCACAAGGTGAGGTGCACGCTTCATTGAAGCGAGGCACACCTTTCAATAAAAAATAAATAATTAACATAGACTAATAATTTGGACATACACATAATCAAAATAAATAATTCACAACTCATAACCACTAAAACAAGGTAAGACCAAAAAAAAAAAGAGGATAACTTTATCTTGACAGTGCAACAAACTATTAAACCGGTTGGATTGGGGGTCAGCGGTGGTGGTGAGTTGTGCTGAGTGTCCCCAACAGTGGCAGCTATGAAATATAGAACATCAAAATTAAAAACATTATAAATATATGAATCAAACAAAACTAAAACTATAGAAACTATATCAATCAAACAACAAAGTAGGACAAACAAAAATGAAGAGGAAAACTTTATCTTGACAGTGCTGCAAACTACCTGTTGAATTGGGAGTTGTGGACCCGGTAGCTACATCATCCAGACCACCTTCCCCAACAAATGCACCTATGAAATATAGAACATCAAAAAAATTCAAAAAACAGTTCACCTAAAAAGTTTACCTCATAACAGTTTATCAAAAAAATTCAAAAAACAGTTCACCTAAAGGTACTCACTTCCAAAACCTAAGTTTACTGGGCAATCCCAATCCATTGGGGAGAGACTCTCTTTATCTACAACAAAATTCAAAAAACAGTTCAATCTTATAGAGCTATCGAGAAAACGATAGTATCAACTATAACTATAAGTAATCATAGGTATATAGAAATCATGGGTGGAATAGCGGGCATATAATTACCTTCATTATATACAAATGTAGGAGGCAGTGGATGTTGTGAAAGGCAGGTTTGTTGGGGGATTTCAGAAGTGGAAGGATTGGGCCCATCAACTACATTAGAGAAAATAATAGTAGACAATAAAAATCAACTACAGCTATACGTAAACATACTTTTAAAAAACCACATAAAGGGTGTATATACCTTGATAGTTGATTAATAAAATGTGTCTTCTTTCCCACTCTTGATTAAACCGATGAGAATCACCAAATTTTGACTAATCTCGGTTGACCTTTGGCCCACCCCGAGATATGGTTCTTATTTCCACAAGAGGGTCCGTCAAAGTACACTGAAAATCCTCCTCCAAACCAAATTGCCCAGGGCTTAAGTCAGGCCGATGATAGACAGCCTTCTCAAAACAAATAAGAATTGTTCGGGACATGCCTATGATGGCCTGTCCCCTCAAAGGAAGTGGAAGAAAGTCCACAGGTAACCTTTCATAAGGCTTCCATATTCAACGGAGACCAAAAAAGGCAGTAGTGAAGAGATGCGATGTTGTAATAGCAGATGGAAGTGTTAGGAAACGAGGTAGGCCTAGATTAACGTTGGTTAGCGTTGTAAATAAAGATATGGATCTACTTAATTTGACTAACGAAATAGTCTTTGATAGGGCCGCGTGGAGAAGAAAGATTCATGTAGCCGACCCCAGTTGATGGGACTTAAGGCTTGGCTTGGTTTGGTTATCTTTCATTCATTTGGATAAATTTTAGAGTTATTCATGCCCTAGTAGAGCTTTGAACCCGACACCTCTCCTATTGGCGGCAGAAAACTTAATTTTCATTTTAGATTGGTAATGCGGTACCCCACTTTTCT